CCACACACATACCACACACACCACACATGCCAAACCTATATCTCACATCATACACACCACAAAAACCACACATACACACCACAGACACCAAACACACATCAAACCTACATCACACACTACATACACATACTACATATACCACACACCATACCACATCTATATCACACCTAATCACACACCTCACATACACACCACACACACCATACACATGCCAAACTTATCACACTGCGCATAGACCACATATACCACACACCCTATTATACACGACATCACACCTATGTCACACCTACTACATACATCCACGTAAACCACATACACACCAAACCTATATCACACAACTCATCATCCACATACACCACACACATCGTATAAACCACATATACATACCAAACACACGTCATACAACATACATACCACACAAAAACCACATACCACGCATATGCTGCCCGAGCCCATGTGCTGCTTACACCCACGTGGCCGAGCATATGTGGTGCCCGAGCACATGTGTCGCCCGCATCTCCCCTCTTGAGATGTGTACTTTCATGCCTTTGTGTCTAATGCTGGGAAGTGTCCAGGGTTCTCTCTGCCCTTGGAGAAGCCCGTGTTCTCTCTTGAGTGCGTCTCTCTCTCTCTCTCTCTCTCTCTCTCTTCTCTCTCTCCTCCCCCCCGAAAACCCTCCAAATAAAATCTATTTTACTGCTAAAAAAAAACACATACCACACCACACACATCACACATATACCACATATCATACTATACACATAAATGACACGTACATCAGACCTACCACACATCCACCACTCCAGCCTGCACCATGCACACCACACACGTACCACATATACGCATGAACACCACAGCCCCCTTCTATGGACCACAAACACCAAAAACGCACTATACATACCACACACACCACAGGCACAGAGTCTGGCTGGTCAATGATTGACTAGCTCTTCACAGGCTGTTGGCTCCAGCCCCCCACCAGCTGACCCTCAGAGGTCACCTCTCCAAACAAGAGTTGCATCCTCCGGAGGGCCAGGGCCCCCCACCCCTGTGGTTTCCTGCCACCCCAGCCCTTCCGGCCCGGATCATGGATCTCGGGCAAGTGCCCTTGCCCCGGGTGCCTCCCAGTCCTGCCTCAGCAGCCCCCGCCCGCCCGCCCCCCCCCCCCCAACTCCCAGCATCTGCAGCACTGGCCGGCCCTGGCTTCCCTCAGCCTCAGCCTCTCTCCATGGCCCTTCTGCCAAGCCCTCCACAGCGCCCACCCCTGCCCCCCTTCCGCTCCTCTTGTCAAACACCAGACAAGGATTTTCCCCTTCCTCCCGGCCCTGAAAGGGCTCATTCTCTAGGGGAGCCTCACCCCTCGGAGCCTCCTCCCCTGGGGTGTGAGTTCTGACCCCAGCTCAGCCCTGCCCACTCCGGAGCTGGCCCCGCCCCCTCGGGGCAGTCCCTCCACTGGGCGAGTTGCCCTTCCCTTCTGGGCTCCTAGATCTTGGGGGGCAGGTGGGAAGTTCTGTAAGGAGGGCCTAGTAGTTACCAGGATTTCTTCAGGGGCTCCTGCTCCTCCCCATATAGGGGCCTGGGGGGTATTTGCGGTACTCTGGAGGGCATTCAGGGCTCGGGGGTCTCATAGTTGGTGACAAGTCTGAAGACTCTTCCAGTTGCAGCTCTGGGTCTCAGCTCCTCTGCAGTAGGATGGAGGACGAGGGGCAGCACTCACGCACCCCCAGCCTTCAGTGAGGAGAGGAAAGTAACCCCAGGACACAGAGGCATAGAGTATGGGTCCCTTAAAGGATGCCACCCTCCCCCAGCAACTTTGCTGGCTCTCTAAGCTCTCTAAGGCATGAACACGGGGCTGGGGGCAGGGAGAGAGGCAGCATCTTTGACCCAGAACCTAATAGCTTAAGGGGTTTCTCTGTGGTTGAGAATGTGCTCCCAGGAGTGGCCAGAGAAGGGCTCTCAGCAGCCCCCCCCCCCATCCCCACCCCTGTAACATACACAGACCCTCTGGAAGGGCCTAGTAGCTGTGGTCAGAAGTCCCTAGAAAAGGTTCTGGGCTGGCTGACGACTGCCCAGTGAGGGTAGAGGCTGATTTGACTGGCTGGTAAATTCTTTTTTTTTGGTTTGGTTTTGAGGGGGCCACACCTGATGATGCTCGGGGGTTTACTCCTGGATCTGCACTCAGGAATTAATCCTGGCAGTACTTGGGGGACCAAATGGGATGCCTGGGATAGAACCTGGGTTGTCCGCATGCAAGGCAAACTGCCATACTATTTCTCCAGCTTTTGGCTGGTAAATTCTTCCTTTTTTTTTTTTTTTTTTTGCTTTTTGGGTCACCTGTTTGAGCCTCAGTTTCCCAAAACCTCATTATTGTTTTTTTGGGGGGGGGAGGGAGGCGAGAGCACATTGGGGTGTGCTTAGGGCTTATTTCTGGCAGGCTTGGGGGATCACACATGTTGCTAGGGATCGAACCTGGGTCAGCTGTGTGCAGGGCAAACACCTTGAGCACTGTTCTGTCTCTCCAGCACCCCAGCACATGTGCGAACACAGGTGACCCCCAGCAAGTACTATCTTAGGATGTGCAGAGCACACCAGCGGAGGCCCACTCCTGGCTGGAAGTGCTACCTGCAATTTGAGCCCATGTGGCTGAGCCTCAGCAAGCGGGAGCTAGCAACTAAGCAGGTGTCCCCCCCACTAAAATTCCCCCCCCCCATCTTGACAACAAAAGAGAATGGAAGAGGAGAAATAATAGTTCATAATATCTCCCCCGCCCCCCCCCCAAAAAAAAAACCCATGGTCCCTGTCATCCCATTGTTCATCGATTTCATCGAGCAGGCACCAGTAACATCTACATTCGTCTTAGCCCTGAGATTTTAGTAAGTCCCACATTGGAGGCTCTTTCAGGGTCAGAGGAGTGAGACCCATCATTGTTACTGGGTTTTGGCATATCGAATATGCCACGGGGAGCTTGCCAGGCTCTGCTGTGCAGGCAGAATACTCTCATAGCCTGCCGGTTCTCCGAGAGAGAGAACTAGACAAGAGTTCTCACTCTCAAAAAAAAAAAAGTTTCCCAAATTTCATAAGCTTCTAGCCCCACAGAATTTGGATCTGCTCTAGTATCACTAAATTTGACACCATTTACTGGTTCATTCCTATGTGCCAAGTACTGCACTCACTGCCCCATGATATGTATAATTTGCAGGTGAGCAAACAGACCAGGAGAGCCCTTACTTGCTCCCTGAGACAGAGAGTCCAGATTTGAGACAGAGAGTCCAGATTCGAACCCAGGGACCAGATGCATGAGTTAAAGAGCTCATGCTTGCATGCTGAAGGCCTCCGCCTGGTCCTGTGAACCCAAATCATATGAACCCACATATGTAGGTTCTCAACCCTCTTGCGGTGAAAGTACCTGCAGATAACCAGGGGAGCAGCTGTGCCCTCACTCTCCGTCCAAAAATCCCCCTAGCTCCTCTACCTTCCCCTTGACCAGCACAGGAATAGACTTGGTTCAGGTATTGCAAATCATCAGTTTCACAGGGGGAGCGTGGAGGGTGGGGGAGAGATGTTGTGGAGCAATAGTACAGTAAGGCGCTTGCCTTGCACACAGCCTACTCGGGTTCAGTCCTGGCCTCCCATATGGTCACCAGGAATAAATTTCTGAATGCAGGACCAGGAGTAACCCCTGAGCATAGCTGGGTGTGGCCCCAAACCCAATCCCCTGCCCAAAAGAAAAGCAAAAAAAAAAAAAAAAAGCAATGATGTCCAGTTAAAGGGGCTGGAGCGATAGCGATAGCACAGCAGTAGGCATTTGCCTTGCACACGACTGGCTGGCCAAGCCAGGTTCGATTCCTCTGCCCCTCTTGGAGAGCCCGGCAAGCTACCGAGATTATCTCACACGCACGGCAAAGCCTAGCAAGCTGCCCGTGATGTATTCAATATGCCAAACACAGTAACAAGTCTCACAATGGAGATGTTACTGGACCTGTCCGCTCGAGCAACTCGATGAACAACGGGAGGACAGTGCAGTGCTACGGTCCAGTTAAAATCGACTTTCCAATAAGCAACAAATAGGGTTTTTGTAGTAGTACACAGTAAACAAGATTTTGTTATAATCTCCACCAAAAATAGGTTTGCCTTCCCCCCACCCATCAACAGAAGGCCAGGGCTCCAAATGTGAATGCAGGTCGGGGAGGTGGAATTGAACCAGCCAATGGAAAACTGGAAGAGAAGAAACATTAAACCAATGGAGCAGTACCCCTTAAATAAACAAAGTGTAGTTCTTCCAGGGACTGAGGGGGCGGCTGCACTGCAGCCCCCTTAAAGCCACCAGACTCTTCAAGTTCAGGGATGTAGTTGAGTGCTAGAGTGCAGGTTCCAACCCTGGCACGGCTCCAAACACACACACACACACACTAACAACAAAACCCCCATCCTTTTCAGACTGGACAAAGCACCTGAAAGATTTGAGAAGGCATGCCAGGGAGTGTTGGAAGCCACAGCGTTTAACACCGCAGAGCCTGTGCCCAGAGTATCAGTTTGACTTGCGGCTGCGGTGGGAAAATCCTGCCTTGACATTAAACCCAATAGGCGCGTGATGGGGGTAGGATGCCAAGTCGCCAGGAACGTTGAAAGTTGTATTTAAAAAAAAAGAAAGAAAGAAAGAGAAAGGAAAAGAAAGAAAGAGAGAGAAAGAAAGAAAGAGGAAGAAAGAGAGAGAAAGAAAGAAAGGAAGGAAAAGAGAGAAAAGAAAAATGCCTGCGACCCAGAAGAATCTGCAGCCCAAAGCGTGAGCCCCCGACGGCAGGGGCAGGAGACGCCCCTCCGCATCCCGGGCTTTTCGGGGTTCTCCCGGGAAGCGCGCGGGAGGAGCGGCCGGGCGCGCGCGGGGCGGGACGCACCCAGGCCTGCGCGCAGAGGGAGAAAGTGAAGCCGGGACTCACCACTCCCCGCGACTCGCTGGAATGTGGTTGGAGGGGGTGGGGGGGGCCAGCCGGGAGCGCGCCTGCTCCCAATCACAGGAGGAGGAGGCGGTGGAGGCGGAGGGCTGCCTCGAGGAAGCGCAAGAATGAAGTTGTGGAGCTGAGATTCCCCCCGCCGCGAGCCCCGGAGAGCCGAGCCCCGCGCCCCGCGCCCCGGACGCCGCGCGCCCGCCCCGCGCCCCCCGCCCTCGCCGCGCCCCGCGCCCTCGCAGCGGGGTCCCGCCCGAGCCATGGGGCCCGAGCCGCAGTGAGCACCATGGAGCTGGCGGCCTGGTGCCGCTGGGGGCTCCTGCTCGCCCTGCTGCCCCCCGGCGCCGCGGGCACCCAAGGTGGGTTTGGGGGCGGTGGGGGTGGAGGCGGGGGGCACGGAGCGGCGGCGGGGCCTTGCAGCCCGGGAGCCCCCGCTTCTCCCGGCGGGACTGCGGGGGCCGGACCCGCATCGCGACTTCCAAGTTTCGGGCGATTCCGGCGCTCGGAGCAGCCGGCCTCGGGCGGGGGTGGGGGGCGGAGGAGCCGGGGCGGGCGCGGGGCGTGTGTGTAGGGGGGCGGGGGTGTGCAGTTGCTGTTGTTCCCCGGGGTCTGGTGGTCCCACTCTCGAGGCGCTTTGCGGGTCCCGTGTCGGCTGCTCCGGGAACTTGTCAAAAAGTTTTTGAAAGTGATCAGAAAGTTTCCTCCGGGAGGGAGTAGGGCGTGTGTGTGTGTGTGTGTTGTGCGAGCGCGTGTGTACTGTGTGTACTGTAGCGTAGAGTATGCTTTTGTATTTGTGAGGGCACCGGTGTGTTTGTGGTGTGCTCCCCCCTTATGTGCGCGGTGCCAAGTGCGCGCCTTCTGCCGTCTTGAGCCCCCCACCAAGTTTTCTCAAAGCCTCTCCAGCCGGCAGCCTTCGCCTCCAGACTGAACTGGACTGGATTCCTCCCGGGGTCCCTTCTGCCCTCCTCGCCCCCCTTCCTCCGTCTCGCTCCAGCCACTTGGGTTTAACTGTTCCAGTTTCAGGCATGATGGGAGATGGGGGCAGTTGGGGGCGACATGTCCAGCGGAGTGGGGCGGCGAGGGTGGCCCTGGCCATTGGGGGAGGGGAGGCGTTTGTTTTGAAGGAGTTTCTGTCGCGCCGGCCAGCGCTGGGCCTGCTGCTTTGTGACTTTCCCGGAGCATGGGCTGCCGCCAAGCAGTGGGTGGATGGCTGGGGTTCTGGGCCGGGCCAGAAGTGCCAGTTTCTAGATGGGGAGTCCTGGGCTGTTGGAGCGGGGTCAAGGAGCTCAGGGGTGGGGGGTACGCAGGGACTGGGTTGTCTTATTTCTTCCTCCCTGCCTCTGGGAGGCATGGGGTTGGGATGGGGTGACAGTGTGTAGTAAACTTATGGAAATAGCCTGGCTAGGGTCTTTTGCCAGTGACTGGTCGGTGAGAAGCTGAATTTGCCAAGGGTGAGCCCTGTGTGAATCCTAGCGAGAACCCCAGGAAGCTGGGCTGCACTAATCTACTTTGAACAATAGGGGAGCCTCCTCTGAGGGTGGGGGAGGATGGATGAGGGTGATCTGGACTGGTGGGTGGTCTCCACAGTCTGGGAATCTGCGTGTCCCCACCCCTCAGCCTGAGCGACCGTGATCCAAGGCCCTGACTACTCAGGATTGTGTGCATTTATTTAGGGTTGTATTCATGCAGCGTTGTGCATATGCAGGGTTGTGTGTGTGCAGAATTGTGTGTGTGCATGTGGGGTGGTGTGCACACAGGGTTGTATTGGTGCAGGGTTGTGTGTGTGTGTGGGATTGTGGTGGGGGTCATGTGCATGTAGGGCTGTGTCTGTGGGGGTTCTGTATGCAGGGTTCTGTATGTGAGTGGGGCTGTGTGCATTCAGGGTTGTGTGTGTGTGGCAGTGTGCATGCAGGGTATTATGTGTGAAGCTGTGTGTGTGTGCAGGGTTGTGTATGTATGGGGCTGTGTGCATGCAAGGTTGTGTGTGTGTGTGTGACTGTGCTGCAGGGTTGTATATGTATGGGGAGCTGTGTGCATGCAGGGTTTTGTGGGGGGGGGCTGTGCATGTGCAGGGTTGTGTATGTGTGTGGGGCTGTGTGCGTGCAGAGTTGTTTGTGTGTGCTTTGTGTCTGTTCCTGGACTCGGTCACCACCCAGCAGCCTCTGCTGACTTGGGCACTGGGCTGAACTCTGCCCCTGCTCCGAGGAACTCCCTCAAGGTGCAGGGCCAGCTCTGCTAGAACAGGGAGGCGGCCCAGCCTTCCCTCCCAGGGAGGCTCCTCTTTCCCTCCAGCTTGCAGGCAGCTTTCTTCACCCTTGACCTTCTGACAAGAAGGGCGAGGTGAGGCCAGACTGCTCCTGGTCTCTCCTGGGCCTGGGCCTTGAGCAGGTGGAGAGGGGCCCGGCACGGCATCTGAGGGGCCGGTGACTGCATCTCTCAGGGGGCTCCGCACCGCCAAGTACAGAGAGATGGGGGGGGTGCCATGCAGGAGAAATGAATGTGATTTGTAGCTTCTGGCTGCCTCTACCCCCTCCCCCATCCCGCATCAGATCCCAGAGCCTGAAGACGGTGCAGGAGTTGGGGAGGCGAGGGGGAGGAGGTTGCTGAGACCCCTTCTCCAAGGTCAGAGTTTTGGAAAGTGCTGCAAACATCTTTTTTAGCTGGCAGAATTCCTGTTTCAGCTCCCCTCTGCTGCTCCCAAGAGCCTCCTTCCTTCTTTTAGGGAAAGTAACCTCATTTTAATATTCCCCGGGGGAGGGGTGAAAGGAAGGGAAGATGGGATCCAATGCAAAGAAAAAGATAGCAAAAGTTCCAAAGTGAAAAAAGACAAAGCCCTTGTTCTTTTCTGTGAGTTTGGAATGACCCAGGCATCTGGGGTGGAGGTGGGGGGGGGGGGGGTGTCGCTCCCAGAAGTGCTGGGGGACCTTGTGGCTCCAGCTTGGAGAACCTGAGCACCAGCCCTTTGTTTCCTATTCAGCCCTTGCAGAGGTGAGAACACGGGAGAGAAGCAGCTCATCCAAGGCCTCCCAGGGAACCAACAAAGCCTGGCAGTTTGGCCTCCAATGAGGAAGCACCAGGAATTGGTCAAAGTCTCTTTCCACCCATAGGACAGGCTTGAGTGTCGCCAGGTGGCTGGGTGTGGGGAGAGGGGATCCTCTTCCTTCTTGAGGCAGCAGGAAAGCTGGGGAGCTGGAGCCCCTTTGCGATTCCTCTTCTGGCTGTGAAGTTCCCTTAGTCCCTCATCTCCCTTCCTTTTGGGGTTCCCCAGACTGGCAGGGGACCCACAGCGTGAGGAAGGCTGCTGGCTTGGGACCTGGGCAGTCAACCAGTTAAGGATGATGAAGCTGGTGTAGGGCTCAAGCCATTGGGCTGCCCCTGGGCGCTGAAATGATCTGGAAAGGGACCCCCCCCCCCATGACCTGTGGGAAACCCTTCCTGGATGATGCCTCCATCTTTTGCTGGGCCCTCCCTCCCTGACCCAAGATTGCCGAGGGGAGTCATGGGGTGTGTGCTCCCTCAAGGAGTGGGAGAGTGTTTGTAGTTAATGTTTGCATGGCCCAGTTCTGTTTACAAAGCCTGGCCATGTCTGTGGACAGCTTGTAGATTTGTTCGTTCTTTTAATTCTCTTTTGCTTTCTCTGCTGAGCATAAGGGCTGTTTTCTTCTCTGCTCCTGGGGCCCAGTAAATCTGTAAATATTCATGGAGGGTCTAAGAGTTCCAGGCACCACTGGCCAGGCTGTAATGAAATTGATTTGGCCGCTGCCCTAGAGGTCCAGGAAATTACACGAGGTTCCCCAGTGAGTGGCCTGATCAGGTCTGTGGCATCACGATGCTGAGTGCAGGGGTCTGAGGTGCTGACTGGGCCCTGGCAAAGAATGGGGAGCTTTGGGGATGTGGGTAGTTTTCCTGGTTTCGGTTCCTGGAAACCAGAGGAAGGATGGGCTTTCCTGCAGGTGCGAGGAGGGAGCCCAGTTAAGAAAACCCAGAGCTGGCACCAAACCCTGGTCATGAGAGGCCAGTTGACAGGATTTGAGGAATTCTGTGACAAGCCTCTGAACAGACAGATGGACACTGGGACCGCAATTGCTCCCTTTGAGTTTGGAGACTCCTTGTTTGTTTAGGAGGGTCAGTAAGCCCCAGCAGTGCTCAGGGCTTCCTCCTGACTCTGTGTTCAGGAGTCACTCCTGGTGGGGCTCAGGGACCATATGTGCTACTGGGGATTGAACCCAGGTCAGTTGCATGCAAGGGAGTGCCTTACTAGCTGTACTGTCTTTCCTGTCTATGAAGGCCCTTGATTGGACTCCATCCACCCATCCACACATCCACCCATCCACACATACATCCATCCATCCATCCATCCATCCGTCGATCCGTCCGTCCGTCCATCCATCCATTAATCCATCTGTCCATTCATCTGTTGGTCCACTTGTCTGTCCAACCATCCATCCATCTACCTATCCTTACATCTGTTGGTCCACCTGTTCACCCATCCATCTATCCATTTATCTGTCCATCCATTCATCCACCTACCCACCCATCTGCTCACCCATTCATCTGTCTGTCCATCTATCACTACGTGGTCACTGTGTGCCCTGCTCTTGTGCAGGGCTGGTTCTGCCTCTTTGGCCCCTGGGATCCAGAGTTCGGGCTCCTGAGAGGCATGTGTTTTGGGGGGACAAAGAGGCCCTCGGTGTCAAAGAGGACCTTTTTATCACCCAGAGCATCAGTGGGGGAGGAGGAGTCTGGGGAGAGAGGTGAAGATGAGCAAAGGGAAATAGGAAGATGTGGGGATCATAGGGAGGAGGGGAATGTCAGAAGAGTCTTGACTACACGGTGGGTTGGTGGGGGTGGGGGTGAGCCCAGAAGCTGCTTCTAGCTCCCTGGGAGTAGGTACCAATTTTACCACCTGTTGCAAACACTTAGTCTTAATCAGACTCAAATCAGGCAAACAAGTGCACTCCAGGGGTGGGGCTACCACTCTTTCTGGTCCTTCTGCCCAGCCCAGCCACCCTGCCCTGCCCGGAGCCTGTCATGTTTATCAGTGGCATCAGTAGAGTCGGTGTGTTTACGTTTGCAGGGTGCAGGGTGCGTGGGGGGTGGGGAAAGCAGCCAGGCCTGGTGTGGGCAATGTGGTATCTATACTCGGACAGACTCAGCTTCAAATCCTGCCCCTTTGAGTTTGGAGACTCCTGGTCTGTGATCTTTGCGCAACTTTGTGATCTGGGAGAATCTCTCTAGTCAGCCTGCTCTTTTGCAAAAGAGAGACTTAAATCCCTGCTTCGGGGGGGCTGCACCCAGACCTGGGGGGCACACAGAAGGTGCTTAGTTAATGCCAGTCGCTGCCCCCTGTTCCCATGGTTGTTTTCCTAGAGCCCTGCTGCCACAGCTGGTGCCCTGGGAGGTGGCGGCGGAGGGCAGCAGGGTGTGGAGACGCCCTGCCAGGCGTGGGCCAAGGCCGAGGGGTCTGGGCTGGAGACAGCTGGGCTTGTAAGCAGCTGAAGCCGGGGGAGGTCCTGGCTGCCGGGCGTTATTTTTGGGCCTGGCCTGCCACCCCCAGCTCCTATTTCTCTTGGGAGTCGGGTAGGGGGGAGGGACCCTGGCGTTCTATTTCGGGGCCCTCCCCTTCTTCTGCTTTCTTCCTTCTCTGCCTGAGGGGTGACAGCAGAGACCACTAAGGTGTCCCTGAGAACTTGCAGCTGGTGGCTACTGGCCCAGGCTGGAGCCCCAGTCTCCCAGAGACAGCAGGGTGTCTGTCCTCACCCCATCTCCCAGGATTAAGGCTCCATGTGGTCAGGAGAGCAGGGGCTCCTCATGTCCCCACACTGTTCCCTGGGTCCTCTCCCTATCCCGAGAGGTCAAGGGGCAGCTAACAGGAATTTCAGGCAGCTCAGGCACCCGTGGGCCTGTGGATCTGGGGGTGCCCCCCACCCTCCTGGGCAGGACGCGCCAGGTGATTCATCTTCTCACCAGAGCAGAAAAACGGGTTCGGCTGGGCACTGTAATCTCCCCCCTGCCGACAGGCATGGTGCCAGGTGCAGCTCAGGGCACCCTCACCCGGGGGGAACTCACCCCTCCTGGACTCAGGCTTGGGGCTGGGGGAATGTTGGATCCCAGGGGTACCTGTGGGGGGCTAAGTGAGCAGATGTGCTCATTCATCCTGATGCCCAATGGGCGATGGTTGGCCCCGGGCAGGTGCCCAGCACTGACGTAGTGTGCGGGCGGGCACTCCATGGCACGGATTCTGCCAGCTGGTTCTCTGCTGTCTTGCTGGAAGGAGATGGCAGAGGTGAGGTGCCAGCATCAACACCTCCACATTGGGCATCACCCTGGTTAAGGGCCTGTCCCAGGGGTCCTGAGCTGACACCTGCTGCCTGGGCAAATCCCAGAGGTCCCTGCAGTGGCCAGGCCCCCGGTGGGCCCCGTGCTCCAACTCTGACTCCATTAACCCTCCCTCCCTCCCCACTTTCTGGAATTAAGGGGATGGTATCCCTTGCTGAGATCTGGCACGTAGGTGGTGTTGGAATGGGGTGGGAGTTTGTTTGCTTAGGAGAGAGCCAGGGGCTGCTCGCAGGCTGCATGATTCACTGAGGCCTCTTTGGGGATTTTATCTCCCCCCCCCCCATGAGTTGTGACTTGGGGACAAAGGGACACTATTTTCCAGCAGGCCTCTGTATGGAGGGGTCCTAGGGCCACACCGCTCTGGATGCTGTGTTCAGTCTGTCAGGGCTCCTCCCAGGAGTGCTCTCCTCCTCAGTTTGAGCCCGTTAGAGTCACTGCATGGGGACCTGTGTGTGGGGGGGGGGGCGGGGGCTCTGTCTTCCTGAGGCCCCTGACTCTGGGGAGAGAGTATGGAGGTGGCCTCTGACCCCGTCCTTCCTCCCCGCCAGTGTGCACCGGCACGGACATGAAGCTGCGGCTGCCTGCCAGTCCCGAGACCCACCTGGACATGCTCCGTCACCTCTACCGCGGCTGCCAGGTGGTACAGGGCAACCTGGAGCTCACTTACCTGCCCGCCAATGCCAGCCTTTCCTTCCTGCAGGTGAGGCCTTGATGCCTTTGCCCGCAGCTGAGCCGAGCTCGCTGCTCTTAGAAGGGGGTGCTGGAGCTGGGGGGGCCTTTTGATGTTTCCCCAAGCAGGAAGTCCTCTCTGAAGTCGAACCCTTTTTCTCCGTGACCAACTGTGTAAGTCCCCGTCAGGGGGCCTTGGCACCTCTGGGGGATACAGCTGTTTCTTGGCTACTCTCTTTTTGTTCTCTCGTTGGTTGGATCATGGCCCCCAAGCCCCATCCTCCAGCCCCAGCCACTGTCCCTCTCTCGCCTGGAGGAGTGAGAAGGCTCCTGGGAGAGGTGGTTCTGGTCCAGTTCCAGGCCCCACTGGGTCTCAGTTTCCCTATCTGTGTATTGGGATCAATAGGCTTGCTTTGACAACAGCCTGGGCGTGAGAGTGGTATCAAACAGATCAAAGGGAACATACTGGGAAGGGTTGTAGGCAGGAGGAAGCAGAAATCAGCCTGTCGGGTTGTGCCCCTGGTGACCTGGACCCGGGCCATAGGGGCCGAGCTTGGTCTGTTGAGTTCAGACATTCTGGGCCCGGCCTTTCCTTTCTGAGATGAAGAAGCTGAGATGCAAAGGGGCCGGGGCCCTCGCCCCATTTACCAAGCGCTCCCCCCACTATACCTCCAGATCGTGCAAGAATCGGGTGTGGCCAGGTGGGAAGCTGCTGCCTCTCCATGTTGTCTGTGAGGGAGCAGGAGTGCTGGGGGTCGGGTGGAGGCTGGCGCTCGTGTCCTGGTCCCAGGGCCCACCTCAGCTGCTTCCCGGCCCGCTCCCCTCCCAGGACATCCAGGAGGTGCAGGGCTACGTGCTCATTGCTCACAGCCAGGTGAGCCAGGTGCCTCTGCAGCGGCTGAGGATAGTGCGCGGCACTCAACTCTTTGAGGACAAGTATGCCCTGGCAGTGCTGGACAACGGGGACCTGCAGGACTCAGCCCGCCCTGTGGCGGGCGCCGCCGTGGCAGGACTGCGTGAGCTGCAGCTTCGGAGCCTCACAGGTGCTCTTCATGCTCCTAATACCAGTTCCCATCACCTGGCGGGCCCCGGGAGGCTTGGTGTGAATTCCATCTGGAGTTCCCATCTGGGTGGATTCAGGGGGAGCTAGGATAGGGGGCAGAGGGGAGAACTTTTCAGCTTGCAGACTGTGATACTTAAAATGCAGCTTGGGATTTTGTTCACTTCTTGACCAAGGTCACTTGTGCAGTGAGCAACATGTGGAATTGTACCTGGCAGGTGCGAAGCTGACTGTGTAGTGTGTGTCAGGTGCTCTGTCTGTATGAGCGTTTTTGTAGAATTGTTGCAGTTTTTCAGGCTTACTTGGGGGCCACATGTGGCAATGCGCCAAGGCTACTCCTGGCTCTGAGTTTAGGGACCGAGTGGTACCAGGGATTATTAAACTTGGGCTTCCTGCATGCAGAGTACCACTCAGACAGTTGAGCTCTCTCCCAGCCTCTCCCGCTAGTTTTGCCGGGGAAGCAGCTACTTTTTTTGTTTTGTTTTGTTAAGGATGAGAAACTCCTTAGTGTTGAGACATGTGCCCGTCACTCTGGAACTGTCTCCTGCTCCTGCTCCCTTTTAGAAGGTGGGAGGAGTCAGAGAGAGAGAAGGCGAGAGATGGGACTGAGCCCCCTGATTATTATTTGCCCCACAGAGATCCTGAAAGGAGGGGTCCTGATCCAGCGGAACCCCCAGCTGTGCCATCAGGATACGATTTTGTGGGAGGACATTTTCCACAAGAAGAACGAGCTGGCGCAGCAGCTGATAGACAGCAACCGATCGCGCACGTGTAAGCCCCGCCCCTCCAATGGCATAAGCCCCGCCCACACTGGTCTATAAGTCCCACCCCTCCAGCGACATGGGCCCGCCCCAGTACCATAAGCCCTGCCCCTCCATGGGCAGAACAATAAACTATGCCCGTGCTGGTCTATAAACCCCGCCCCAGTGTCAAACCACGCCCCACCTGCAGTCTTGTCTGTCTTATCCCTTTGTCCCTCTGCTCACTCTCCTGAGGTTCCTGAGCCTCTCCTGTGCCTCTAGGGGCCTTTTTTTTCCTTTTTGGGTCACACCTGGAATGCACAGGGGTTACTCCTGGCTCTGCACTCAGGAATTACTTCTGGCAGTGTTCAGGGGACCATGTGGGATGCTGGGAATCGAACCCAGGTCGGCCGAGTGCAAGGCAAACACCTACCCACTGTACTGTCGTTCCAGCCCTGGTGCCTCTATTTTTGTCTAGGTCTCTCCCTTGCTGTGCATTCTTGTCTCCTGATCATTGTCTCTGTTTCTCTCCCCAGGCAAACCCTGTTCTCCCACCTGCAAAACCTCCGGTTGCTGGGGAGAAAATTCTGAGGATTGTCAGATCCGTGAGTCTCATGTAGTTCTCGGTGGGGGGGTGGGGGGTGTGGAACTAAGGCGTGATGTGAAGATGCCCGGCCTTATGTGCTGTCCCCGGGGCATGGAGTGTCCCCTAGAGGGTGATGCAGGCGAGGGCCACCATCCAGTTCTCTTCCCAACAGTGACGCGGACGGTCTGCGCCAGTGGCTGTGCCCGCTGCAAAGGCCCGCTGTCCACCGACTGTTGCCACGAACAGTGTGCGGCCGGCTGCACGGGCCCCAAACACTCCGACTGCTTGGTATGTGCCCGGGGTGCCATTCTTCATGCGGGGGGTGACCCCACCTGGTGCTGCCCTCTCCCCGTGCACCCCAGGGAAGCACAGCCCCTTGACCTCCAGTGGCCTGTTGCCCCCACAGGCCTGCCTCAACTTCAACCACAGCAGCATCTGTGAGCAGCTCTGTCCGACCCTGGTCACCTACAACACGGACACCTTTGAGTCCATGCTCAACCCCGAGGGCCGCTATACCTTTGGCGCCAGCTGCGTGACTGCCTGTCCCTGTGAGTGACCGGGAGAAGAGGCGTGTGCATGTGCCTTTAGCTGGGAGCTTCCCTGTGTATTATTTGGGGGCACACAGGACCTGGACTGGCCCATCTGCCTGTTGCATTGGAGAGCTGGTCACGGTGGTTTCCATGGAGCTGCCCAGACTCTCACAGCCGTAGAGTGGGTGGAAGACTGAGGGACAGTTGAGAGCTTGGCTCAGGCGCTGGGTGTGAAACCTGCCCATGCCACTCTGTAGGCGTGCGACTGTCTAGTCTTATTCCATTGTATCATATGTCAAATGGGACCTGTCAATAGCCCCAACCTGAAAAGGGGGTCACAGAATTGGTTTGTCCATTTATTATGTTTTTGGGAACACAGCCAGGAATGCTCAGGGCGTCTTCCTTGCTCTGTGCTCAAAACTCACTCCTGGCAGGGCTTGGAGGATCGAATTTGTGTTGACCATGTGCCGGATAAGAACCCTTCCCGCTGTCCTCTTGCTCTGGTTCCTTTCATTCCTGTGGCACTTTCTGGGCTTGGTGACAATGGGGTGGCAGGCAGGGCCCAGGAGGACGTGGTTCCCATCTTCTCAGACAACTACCTGTCTACGGACGTGGGCTCCTGCACCCTGGTCTGCCCGATGGACAGCCAGGAGGTGACGGCTAGTGATGGAACCCAGCGGTGTGAGAAATGCAGCAAGCCCTGTGCTCCAGGTATTACCAGCTGCCCCCAGCCCTGCTGCTGTCCCTGTCCCCAGCCCTCTGTCTCCCTCTTCCTCAGATGCTCTTGAGACCCTATTATTTTCTCCCAGTGTCTCAGACCCCAGCCCTCTGCAGTGTCGCCCCTCTAATGCCCCATCGCAGGGGGATCAGGGAAGGGGCCATGGGGCCAGGGGAGGGGGCTGTGCGCAGAACCAGGAAATATAAGTTCCTGGATGGCTCAGTCCTCATGAAGGGGCTGATGACCCCCCTCACCCTCTGCCCCCCTGCGCCCTGCAGTGTGCTATGGCCTGGGCATGGAGCACCTGCGGGAGGTGAGGGCTGTCACTAGTGCTAACATCCAGATGTTTGCGGGCTGCAAGAAGATCTTCGGGAGCCTGGCGTTTCTGCCGGAGAGCTTTAAGGGGTAAGGCCAGTCGGGGTGAGGTGGGTTCATGGCCTGTGGCGGCATGAAGGCCATCTGTACCCAGTCCTGAGGACCCAGAAGTGGTAGCAGGGGAGGGCTGGTGATGGAGGTGGCAGGGCAGGGATGCCAAGGGGGCAGGTGGGAGGCTGGGGGTGTGCAGGGATGGAGGGATTTATTTTGTGAATAGCTGCTTTCCTATGAGCATGTTTGCATGGAGGAATCCAGATCATCCTGATCAAGTATGATTCACTTTGAGTTCATGGCAGTTTTAGCTATCAGAGCCCTAACTTCGAAAGAGCAGAGCAATGTCCAGAGGTGATGAAAGAGAGAAGTGGTGGGCTGTCCTGGCAGTGAGAGTCTTACCCACAAAGAGTGGCGGGCCATGGTACAGCTGGCAGTCCAGAGTAGTCCCAGAAACATGTTTAGCAGAAGTCTGATTAGAGATATTTTAGGGGAGGTTCCTGAATAGGCAAATTTATTCTGGAGACAGAAATCAGAACAGTGGCTTCTTGGGGCAGAGGGACTCAGGGGGCATTCTGGCATGAGGGAAAAGTTATTGATTGCATAAGTGGTGGATTCATGGGCAAATGCATTTGTCAAAACTCATTAGGGACTAGAACGATAGTATGGTGTGGAGGGCCTTAAGCCTTGCACGTGGCTGACCAGAGTTTGATCCCCGATCCCATATGATATCCTGAGCACCACCAGGAGTAATTCCTGAGTGCAGAGCCAGGAGTAACCCCTGAGCATCACCAGATATGTCCGCAAAAGCCAAAAACAATACTAACACAAAAAAACCTAACTCTTTAGGCTTGGGGGACCAGGGCAATAGTATGGTGGGTAAAGTGTTTTCCTTGTATGTGGCTGACCCAGGTTTGATCCCCAGCTTCCCACATGGTTCCCTTAGTACCACCAGTAGTAATTTCTGAGTGCAGATCCAGAAGTAACCCCTGAGTATGGCCCAAACTTGCCCCCACCTCCCCCTCCCACACACAGGCGCACCAAAAATATAAAAACCTTGTCAGACTGTACATTACAAATTGAAGGGTTTAAATATATATATATATGATACACTCATTAAAAATAAATCTATACTATCTCTTTGGCCCGCTGTTTTCAGTGTTCACTGCTAGAAATGATTCCACCTTGTACTTGCCTTAGGGAAAAGGTCCGCCCAGTTCACGTTCACAGAAGTAGCATTTCCAGAGGAAAGGATATAAATGTTGTCTTGCTGGAATCCGCCCAAGGGAGGGCCAGCCTTTGAAGGCCAGGAGTGAGGGCAGCTGAGGTCAAGTCATCAAGAAGAGGAGATGGGGGGGGGGGGGCTGGAGAGCCGTCTTGGGGTCAGCCCCCTTTCCTGGCTCTGCTGACGCTGCCCTAACCCCCTGCAGGGACCCGGCCTCTGGCATGGCCCCCCTCCAGCCCGAGCAGCTCCAGGTCTTCGAGAGTCTGGAGGAGATCACAGGTCAGAGCTCTCTGCCATCCGTGCCCCGCTCTGGAAGGAGGTGCACCGGTCGCCTCCTCCCCCCGCAGACCGGCCTCCCCCCACCGCCTTGCAGGTTTCCTATACATCTCCGCGTGGCCGGACAGCCTGCCTGACCTCGGTGTTTTCCAGAACCTTCGTGTCATCCGAGGACGAATCCTGCAAGAGTGAGCTTGGGAAACGCGGGGACAGGGGCTTTGTGGGTGGGTGGCCGGGGGTAGGCACTTTGGCCAGGGATGTGGGTGTTTACCATGTGTGGGGGATGGGCAGGAATTCCTGGGTGCTGCCCCTCCTGTAGCTGGGTCCTCCTTCCTGCCCCGCAGTGGTGCCTACTCCCTCACTGTGCAAGGCCTGGGCATCCGCTGGCTGGGGTTGCGCTCACTGCGGGAGCTGGGCAGCGGGCTGGCCCTCGTCCACCGCAACCCCCACCTCTGCTTCATCCACACGGTGCCCTGGGAACAGCTCTTCCGGAACCCCCACCAGACTCTGCTCTACAGTGCCAACCGGCCTGAGAATGAGTGTGGTAAGATGGGGAGCCCAGTGCTGCACCCAACACACCAGCCAGGGTACCCCGGGGCCACCAGCAGCCACGGTCTGGCACACCTGTGCCTTCCCTGATGTAGCCCTTCCGGGCTGGCCTGGGCATGGTTGTGGTTGGTCGTGCCGTGTGGCCTCCCTGGGCATCCTTCCCTTCCTCTTCCCAAGATTGAGGGATTCTTCCCTGCCTTGCCCGAAGCCTGTCCCTCTCCCCGGCACCTGAGGCCAACAGCCACCCCCAGGGCCTCCTGCTTCCCCTTCCCCTTGCACCTGGAGCCTCACCTAAGGGGTCCTTTCACCCTTTCCCTCACTGCAGTGGGCAAGGGCCTGGAGTGCTACTCTCTGTGTGCCCAGGGGCATTGCTGGGGCCCAGGGCCCACCCAGTGTGTCAACTGCAGCCAGTTCCTCCGGGGCCAGGAGTGCGTGGAGGAGTGCCGAGTCCTGCAGGGGTATGCGGGGTGGAGGGGCGGGCGGGTGGTTGGGCAGAGGGGGCTCAGGACTCCAGCAGATCTGCTGACCTGCCTCTCCCCTCTCAGATCCCCCCCAGAGTATGTGAAGGACAGGCGCTGCCTCCCATGCCACGCTGAGTGCCAGCCGCAGAACGGCTCCGTCACCTGCTTTGGCTCGGTGAGGTGCTGGGACAGGGGAGCAGGAGGGTGGGGGCTGGGGAGAAGGAGACGCAGGGGGTCTCCAATCCGTCAAGACTCTGAGCTCCGAGTCCAGGGCAGGGCAGAAGGGTGTCAGGGAAGGGATGCTGAGGCGATGGACGTGGCAGAGATGGACAGACTAGGCTGGGCCCCAGGGAAGCCTGTGTCCTTGGCTGGAGCAGAGTCAGGGTCATGAGTCTTGAGTACTTGGGCTTTGGACTCTGGATTCACTCATTCGTAAAGGAATATGGCTCTCACCGCCACACACCCCTGAAATGGGATCAGCTCAGGCCTGACAGCCTCCCCCAACCCCCATGGCTGGCTGCAATGTCCCCAACTATACTCTGACTTCTAGACCTTCCCACTTGCCAGCAGAAGCTCTAGCCTGGAGGGTGACAGGATTGGGGGGGACACCAGCAGGTCCTGGACTATCCCTGGCATTGAATGAGGGTCCCTGAGGGTCTGAGCCCACTCCCCTGGGAGTGTCATGTCATTCCCCTCCAAACCCTTCCTCCCCACCCAGGAGGCAGATGAGTGTGTGGCCTGTGCCCACTACAAGGACCCTCCCTTCTGTGTGGCTCGCTGCCCCAGCGGTGTGAAGCCTGACCTCTCCTTCATGCCCATCTGGAAGTTTCCCGATGAGGAGCGCATGTGCCAGCCGTGCCCCATCAACTGCACCCACTCGTGAGTGAGAGGGTTTTCCTGCCCCAGGGAGGGTTTCTCGGAAGGAGCCTCTCTGGGCTCTTGCTGTAAAAGGGGCTACCTGCCTTTGCTTCGCCAAGACCCCTCATTTCATATAATATACACTGTCACTGTCCTCCCGTTGTTCATCGATTTGCTTGAGTGAGCCCAGTAACGTCTCCATTGTGACACTTGTTACTGTGTTTGGCATATTGAATACGTCACGGGGAGCTTGCCAGGCTCTGCCGTGCGGACGAGATACTCTCAGTAGCTTGCCGGGCTCTCCGAGAGGGGTGCAGGAATCAAACTCAGATGGGGTGTTTAGGCCGTGTGCAAGGCAAACGCCCTACCCACTGTGCTATCACTCCAGCCCCCACACACGTAAATATATTTAATTTTAACTTAATCATAAAAGTAATATATTTGTTACTGGAGCATTATACAGTGGTTAGGGTGTTTGCCTTGCAAATGGCTGACCAGAGTTTGAGAGTTTCATCCCCAGCACTACATATGGTTCTTGAGCGCTTACTGATCCCTGATTAACCAGGCGTGATCCCTGAGCCCAGAGCCAGGAATTAGCCCTGAGCACCGTGGGTGTGGCCCCAATACAAACAGCAACAACAACAATGTTTTTTTAGGGTGAGCCACACCCGGCAGTGCTTGGGTGCTTCTGGGGATCAGACCTGGGGCCTTCATGTACAAAATCACTCGGGCCCATTGAGCCGTTGCCGGTCCCTGCTCCCCATTTCTCTCATTGTCCTTATATGGGAAACCTAGAGTATATTTTTACTTACCCAAAATGGAAACAGCACGAAGCAGATTCATCCTTCTCTTGCATACTTCAGCCATCCCATCCCTTCTCCGCCCTGCGGGGAGAGGCAGCAGGGGAATGTTCCTTCCAGCCTCCTCTCTGCACTCCCCCATAAACACACACCTGCACATTTGCATCCCGCGGACTCCGAGAGCAGCTGCTTTTGTAGGTCACATGGACAAGAAACAGCAATTTCGAGTTCAGCTCGTCAGCCTTCCCGTGGTTTATTTATTTGTTTGTTTTGCTTTTGGAGCCACCCCCAGTGGTGTTCAGGGATCACCCCGGGCAGGCCTGGGATACTATTTGGGGGGGGCCAGGGATGGAGCCCCTCTTGGTCGTGTGCAAGGCAAGCACCCTCCCTGCTGTACTATCTCTCTGGCCACCCTCAGTACTCTGGTTTCACGTTAACGGAATCTTACTCTGGGTGTTGCTGTGTTGCTTTGCTTCCTCCACACTCCAGACACCCTGTCCTGTGACAGTTCAGATGTCCTATCTGATTTCTAAAGGGAGGGGGGGTCATACCCAGTGGTGTTCAGGGGATCTTATGCGGTACTGGGGATTGAACTGGGATTGGTCGCATGCAAGAAAGTGTCATCACCCCTGTTCCATCTCTGGTCTGGGTTTGTTTTTCTGTGCTGACAGTGGAACCTGCCTGCAGCCTTGAACATGTGGAGCATGTGCTGTACCGCCGAGCATGATCCAGGCTTTAACCAGGCTCACTACCAGCCGTCCTGGATCCGAGCATGATCCAGGCCTGCACCGAGGCTCACTGCCAGCCATCCTAGGTCCGGCAGTGTGGACCTGATGAACAGTCCAGCCCTGGGACCAGTGCTGTAGCCTGCCTGTGCCCAGTGGCGCTGGGGACAAGTACAATATTTACTTATTTTGGTTTTGGGGCCAGACGCAGCTGTGTGGTCTGGCAACTCCCAGATCAATGCTCAGGGACCATGTGGTGATGGAACTCAGGCTTCTTACATGTATATGAGGAGTATCGACTGCTGAGCGACCTCCCACCCTGGAGAGAAATTTTTTTTTTTAATGTGAGGGTTTTTGTGTGTGTGTGTGTGTGTGTGTGTGTGTGTGTGTGTGTCACATCCATGGTGCTTGAGGCTTGGTCCTGGCAGGGTTGGAGGCCCCATATGGGGTGCCAGGGATGGAATGCAGGTCAGCTGTGTGCAAGACAAGCACCCTATCCGCTGTACTCCAGCCCCCAGAGAGAATTTTAAACTGTGCATCAGTCTGAGGCATAGATCGCACATTTGTCCTTTTATTTGATTGCACATGAGCCCTGGGTCCTACCTCCTAGACTGCAGGGTGGCACTTTTAGGATCTGTTCCAGTGGGTGGAACTGCTGTGTCATATTTTTTTTGTGAGAGTTTTGGCCACACCTGGCAATGCTCAGGGGACCATATGAGGTGCTAGGGTCAGCCACATACAAGACAAGTATCTTTAAACTTTTTTTTCAATTTAGTTAATTTTTTTTTTAACTTAGTCACTGTAAATTCCAAAGTTCTTCATCACTGGGCTTTAGGCACAGTGTTCCAACACCAATCCTTTCACCAGTGCCTGTCTCCAGCCTCTGGGTTGCACTGTTGAATTCATAGCTGTTACCACATTGTCCCCTGCAGAGCTTGCACCAACCAATGCCCTGGAACTCTTTTACAGTGTCCAAGCTCTGGGGACTTCCTTGGCGCTCCCTTAGTGCACTGATCTTCATCCACTAGTCCACAGACTGGTACCAGTCCATGGGTGTAGAAAGGTTGAAAAACACTGGTCCACCGCTATGGTTGTAACTGCTGGCTCATGGATTAGCGTACAAGACAGGTGCCAGTTGGTGGGTGTCAGAAGGTTGAAGAAGACTGCTTTAGCTCTTTCCCCCTCCTACCCTCTACTAAGAGATGCCAGGCAGCAGGGGATAAAGGCTCCCAGGCTGGATCGGGAATTCCCTTATGTGCTGGTTTCAAGAGCTCTGGTGAGGGGGACTGGAGCGATAGTACAACCAGTAGGACACTTGCCTTGCATGCAAATGATCCTGGCTTGATCCCTAGAATCCGTATCCATTTCCCCCTTACCCCAGTCCCGCCAAGAGTGATACCCAAGCACAGAGCCAAAAGTAAGCCCTGAGCACTGCTGGGTGTGACCCCAAAATCAAATCAAAGAGAGCAAGAGGGAGAGAGCGAGAGCAAGAGTAAGAGCGAGAGCGAGAGAGAGAGAGAGAGAGAGAGAGAGAGAGAGAGAGAGAGAGAGAGAGGAGAGAGGAGAGGTTCTGGTGACCTTGAGCCCAGTTTTTGCTTTCATCCCATGTGGAGATTAACTCAGCCACACCCATCCCTGGGGGTGCTGCCTCTGGAAGGAGCTCAGGAAGGTGCCCGCCTAGTTGATGAGGCTTTTTCTTTTGCAGCTGTGTGGACCTGGATGACAAGGGCTGCCCTGCTGAGCCGAGAGCCAGGTCAGCCTGGGCCCCGGATGTGCCCCGCCTCGCCCCTCTTATCTCTTTCCAGCCCCACTCTGGATCCTTCTTTCGTTTCCCTTTCACAAGTGCTCAGAGGATCTGCTCAGGATATGTGGGAGTTGGGGACAGGAAGGAGTGCAAAGACCCCCTGTACCTCCTTGCTCTTAAGTAGCTAGATGTCTTGGAAGGGTTCCAGGCTGAGACCCCTACCTGGGACTCGAGGTGGATTGTGGAGGTGTAGTGTCAATGCATCCTTCACAGGGGACAGTGGGGGGCATCCAGGAGGAAAGAAATTTAGAGTCAGGTAAACAGGCCAAGACAGGTCAGACTTGATTTCTGGGAAACTCTGGGAAGTGGCAGAGACTGGAGTGTGCCCTGAGCCATCCTGTGTCTGTGAGGTCAGGAGCAGGGCCAGGTCTGTGGACAGCAGGATGGATGAGCTGTGCCCCTACAAAGTGGTACAAGGGAGCTGTGGGGGTCTGGGCAGATGGTCCAGTAGGTGCCACGTGCAAGGCTGGGAGGTGTGCGAAATTGAAATTGTGACCTAAGTGAAACATTTGCCAGAATATGGGAGTCTCTGAGAGCAGATCTTGGACCTCACCCTGTACCCTAGACAGAGGCCTCTGGCCTCAGGCAGGTCTCAGGAAGCCAGGGAGGTTTCAGAGCTGGAAAGAGGCATCAGAAACTGGGGATCTCCCTGACCACGTTCCTATGCAAAGGCCAGTGACCCCCAGGCCCCTGGACCCAGGAGGTCCCGCCCTCCCTTCTGCCGGGCCCTGTCTCCAATGCCTGTCCCCACTGCAGCCCCGTGACTTCCATCATTGCCACCGTGGTGGGCATCCTGCTCTTTCTGCTCGTGTGTCTGGTCTCGGGCATCTTCATCAAGCGCCGACGGCAGAAGATTCGCAAGTACACCATGCGCAGGCTGCTGCAGGAGACTGAGGTGAGGTGGGAACACCCACCCTGCTCTGACCCGGACCCCAGGAGGCCCAGCCCCAGGGCCCTGACCCGACACCCTTTCCGCAGCTGGTGGAGCCACTGACGCCCAGTGGGGCGGTGCCCAACCAGGCTCAGATGCGGATCCTGAAAGAAACAGAGCTGAGGAAGGTGAAGGTGCTGGGATCCGGAGCTTTCGGCACTGTCTACAAGGTCCGGGGAGGGGCCGCAGCCCTGGGGGGGCGGGGCCTGCTGTGGGTGGGCGCTGGCTGGAAACTAACAGAGGGATGGGGCGTGGGGAGAGGCTCCCCCTCAGGGCTGTTGCTCAACAGTGGGGTGGACCGAGTGAGGGCGGGAAGGGGAGGAGGCCAGGGAGACGGGGTGCATGTGTGTGGCCGGCACCTCTGCCTGCCTGCCCACGCCCTCCTCCTCCTGCCCAGGGCATCTGGATTCCCGACGGAGAAAATGTGAAAATCCCAGTGGCCATCAAAGTATTGCGGGAGAACACATCTCCCAAAGCCAACAAAGAAATCCTGGACGTGAGTTCCCCAGGCTCTGCCGCTAAATGCACAGGAGGGACCCTCCCCGCCCCCCAGGCCCCCATTTCTACCTGCCCCCTTCTTAAACCCCCAGCACTGGCCACAGATCTGTGGGTAGGAATTGGGGCTGTGGTAGCCCCTGTCTCTCAATGGGTCCCCTCGCCCCCAGGAGGCGTATGTGATGGCCGGTGTGGGCTCTCCATATGTGTCCCGATTGCTGGGCATCTGCCTGACATCCACGGTGCAGCTGGTCACGCAGCTCATGCCCTACGGCTGCCTCCTAGACCACGTGCGGGAACACCGAGGGCGCCTGGGCTCCCAAGACCTGCTCAATTGGTGTGTGCAGATCGCCAAGGTATGCGCTGCGGGCACCCTGGGGGTCAGCCGCTATGTCCTGGCGGGGCTGGACTGGACGGAGGTTTCCTGGGAGCATGTGGCCCCCAGGGGGGCTCCACAGCGATGTTCTCGTCACAGGGGATGAGTTACCTGGAGGACGTGCGGCTCGTGCACAGGGACCTGGCTGCCCGCAACGTGCTGGTCAAGAGCCCCAACCACGTCAAGATCACGGACTTCGGGCTGGCTCGGCTGCTGGATATTGACGAGACAGAGTACCACGCAGACGGGGGCAAGGTGAGAGCAGGGGCTGCAAGGCCGCTCCCCGGTGAGCTCCCAGCGGCCACCCCTGACCACACCTGGTTTGAGCACCTGCTCCATCCCCGCAGGTGCCCATCAAGTGGATGGCCCTCGAGTCCATTCTCCGCCGGCGCTTCACCCACCAGAGTGATGTGTGGAGCTATGGTGCGTGGGGGGACCTGGCGGGTTGGGGGGCCAGCCTGGAGCTGGGGCCCAGGGGAGAGCCTGGGGGCGGAGAATGAAGCCACACCTTCCTCCTTCTGCTGGGGTTCCTGCACCCGGGCTCGGGGAAGGCTGGGTGAGGTGCACCCCTGGCATTGCCTCCCTGCCTTTCCTTACCCCGTGGTGCCAGACTCCTGGTATTCAGACCCCTCATCCATACATATAACTTTACCACGCTCTCTGCCCCAGGTGTGACTGTATGGGAGTTGATGACTTTTGGGGCCAAGCCTTACGATGGGATCCCAGCCCGGGAGATTCCAGACCTGCTGGAGAAGGGGGAACGGCTGCCCCAGCCTCCCATCTGCACCATTGATGTCTACATGATCATGGTCAAATGTGCGTGTGGCTGAGCCGCGCGGAGGGCTGGGTGCGGGTTCCACGGGGCCAGGGACCTCAGAGGAGAGATTGGGGTCCCTGATGTGGTGGACGAATTCTGCAAAGGCTGGTTCCCTCTGTATAGCCCAGCTGGGAGGCCTCTGGGCCCCAGTGGGTGAGAGGCTGTGCAGTGAGACGTGGGCAGCGGAGTGGCACACAGGTTCTGCTCAGACCCGGCTCTAACACCTCCTCCATCACGCAGCACTCCAGACTCACACAGCCGGAGTGGTCTAGGCTCGCTTTTCTTCTGTTTTGGGGACATACCAGGCAGCACTCAGGGCTTACTTCTGTCTCAGGGATGACTCCTGGTGGGGCTTGGAGGACCATATGGGATGCTGGGAACTGAACCTGGGTTGACTGCATGCAAGGCAAGATTGTGCCCGATGTACTATCGCTCCAGCCCCTTGAAACCAATTATTTTAAAAATATTTTTTTATTGAGGTACTGTAATTTACAAAGTTATTCATAGCGCCCAACTTTACAATCAGCTATGATCAAATTCCATGTGTATGGTTTACCTGACCTCAGATCTCAACCCCATCACACTAGTATCAGACATCACTCCTGTCTGGGCTCTGGGGCCATATGGGGTTCCAGGAATCAAACCTGGATCAGCTGCATTGCTCAGCCACATTGCAAGGCAAATGCCGTAACCGCTGTCCTATCACTCTGGCTCCTTGAAACCAATTTTTAATATGTTCCACAATCCCCATATGGGGTTGAGACACACAGCTTAGAGAAGCTAGGGGCTAGGGGATAGTTTTCAACTGCTGGTCGTCCCCCTGTGGAAGGTTGGAAACCCCAGTCTGGATGGGTCTGGAGAGGGTGGGCAGGGCCCACCGGGCAGCAGTGGGAACTGATTCCTGAGCTCCCTCTGCCGCAGGCTGGATGATTGACTCGGAATGCCGGCCGCGGTTCCGGGAATTAGTGGCTGAATTCTCACGCATGGCCAGGGACCCGCAGCGCTTTGTGGTCATCCAGGTACTGGGCCTTTCCACCCCTCCTCACCCATCCGGAGGCTGGGGGAAAGGGAGCTGAGCCCTGAGCCTCCATACCCTGCCTTCTTGGGTGGTCATTCCTCCGACCAGACCCCTCAGTCTCCCCAGGGGGCTGAGACCTAGGTGAGGCCCCCACTGCCCTGCTCTTTTCCTCCCTTGCTCCCCAGAATGAAGACTTGGGCCCCGCCAGCCCCCTGGACAGCACCTTCTACCGCTCCTTGCTGGAAGATGATGACATGGGGGACCTGGTAGACGCTGAGGAGTACCTGGTCCCCCAGCAGGGCTTCTTCTGCCCTGACCCTGCCCCGGGCACGGGGAGCACTGCTCACCGCCGGCACCGCAGCTCCTCCACCAGGGTGAGTACGTGTTTGGGTGGCTGGTTGGGGTACTGCTTCCTCCTTGATGTCCCCTTCCCACTGCCTCCCACCCCGTGACCCTGTTCTCTCCCCGGTGGTGTCCGGCTGATTGCCCGTGGCCCTGGTCCCTGCCACCATCCTGACCTCCTGTCTTATGTCTTTAGAGTGGCGGTGGTGGCGAGCTGACGTTGGGGCTGGAGCCCTCGGAGGAGGAGCCCCCCAAGTCTCCCCTGGCCCCCTCAGAAGGGGCTGGCTCCGATGTGTTTGATGGTGACTTGGGAATGGGGGCAGCCAAGGGGCAGCCAAGTCTCCCTACACATGACCTCAGCCCTCTACAGCGGTACAGCGAAGACCCCACGGCTCCCCTGCCCCCCGAGACTGATGGCTACGTTGCCCCCCTCACTTGCAGCCCCCAGCCGGGTATGGAAGGCAGACTTGGGCCGAGAGGGGCAGCAGTGGGGAAGTGGGGAGCAGCCAGGGCCGGCTTGGGGGGTACTGTTTGTAGACACACTGGGACCCTCAGCCCTCACAAGCCTCCCTTTTCGCCTTTCAGAATACGTGAACCAGCTGGAGGTCTGGGCACAGCCCCCCTCGCCCTTAGCTGCGCCCCTGTCTCCCACTCGACCTGCTGGGGCCACTCTGGAAAGGCCCAGGACTCTCTCCCCCAAGACGCTCTCCCCTGGAAAGAATGGGGTGGTCAAAGACGTTTTTGCCTTCGGGGGTGCTGTGGAGAATCCCGAGTACTTGGCACCTCGGGGTGGGGTTGCCCCTCAGCCTCACCCTCCTCCTGGCTTTAGCCCGGCCTTCGACAACCTCTATTACTGGGACCAGGACCCACCAGAGCGGGGCTCCCCACCGGCCACCTTTGAGGGGACCCCTACAGCAGAGAACCCTGAGTACCTGGGCCTGGATGTGACTGTGTGAGTCCAAGGCTGAGAACTCTGAGGCCCTGCTGTCCCTGGAGGAGCCGATGTCCAGTGGCTCCTAGACGAGATGGAGAAGGCCCTTGGGGCCCCCCTGGGGGAACTTGCCAGCCCACTCCAATTCCCAGGGGCCTGGCTGGCAGAGGCGGCAACACTGGTGGACCTTGACGGGCTCTGGAATCCTGCCCGGCGCACTGGCGGCGGCCTCACCATGCTCACTTTGAGCGCCTGCAAACTTAGGGAAGCTGGACAAGGAGGGGGAGAAAGTCCAAGGGAATCTGGGAACAAGTCCGACCCATTCAGACTGTCCCCGAGAGCCAGCTCTGCCCCCCGCCCTTGGGCACTCTGTTCTGTTTTTACTTCTCTGTTGTTTTTTAAAGATGAAAACTCGGGGAGAGTGGATATTGTGGAAGGGGATGCTTCTGGGGTTGGGAAGAGGGCGATCCCTTCTTGAGACCCACTTTCTCCATTTGCAAATATATTTTGGAAAAGAACTGGGAACCAGCTGGAGTGTGGGGATGGCCTGGTGCCATCTCAGGCAAGTTCACCTTTTCCCGGAGGGAGTGGCTGGGAATCTTCAGGAAGCGTGAAGGAGTTTCTTCCGGGAGGCTGGCAGATTGGGGTAGGAGCTGGGATTCTGAGCCCAGGTCTTTGGACATATCCTTATTGCTTAGGAAAAGCAAATCCCTTCCTTGGTGGGGGAAGGAGAGGTATCAAGTGGGAATGGTGGGGGTCCTTTTCCTTGTCTTGGTGGAAGACAGAAGCTGGCACTAGAAGTGGCTATTGAGAAGCCTGCCTGGGGGCCGGAGCAATAGTACAGGACTGGGTAAGGTGCCTGCCTTGCACGCGACAACCTGGATTCAATCCCCAGTATCCCATGTGGTCCCTGAGCACTGCCAGGAGTAACCCCTATGCATCACTGGGTGTGACCCCAAAAACCAGAAAGGAAAAAAGAAGCCTGCCACCCTGGTACAAAGGCCGGGTTGAACTTTGTGCTCCTCCTGCTCTCCCCTCCCCCACTCCCAGATGACAGAAAAACACGCCAGTTGGTACAGGTGTTTGTAGTGCCACTTTATTGCCAATAGCGGACATCACCTGGAGCGAGTGGAGAATAAATTAGAACTACACTGGCATCTGGCAGGTAGTGCCGAGCTGGCGAGGGGACCGGACTTTGGTGAGCCGCTGACCTCAAGGAGGGGATATAATGGGTGGCTGCAGAAATGTCCACTTGGAGGGTCTCTCTCCCGCCCTCAAGACCACAGAAGCTTCTATTCCTTCCTTTACCCAAAGGGGCAAAGTTGAAGCTCGTCGTCTCTTAGAAGGAAGAGGCTGGGGAGAGCCTCCATCATGACCCGCTGGGAGAGCCCCGAGCCCACAGCAGGAACCAAAGACCCCTGCGGTCACAGGATGACACAGGGAGGGCGGCTGTTGGTGATCTTCTCCAGGGGTTCCCCGTTACTGGCTCTTCGGATAGCTTCGATGAGCTGGAGGGAGGAGAGGCAGGTGGAAGGATGTGCTGGAGGGGCCGTGACCTGGGGCTGGGGGTCCCCACACTGCACATACTCACATCTTTCTCGTAAGGAAAGCCTCCATTCTCCAGCTTGGAGAACACCAGCTGCCCATTGATCTCGATCTCAAAGGCCCCTGGGATGAAAAGGATGAGTCAAGGGGGCTGAGAACATGTCCAAGTCCGGGTGGGGGTGGGGGCTCCCACAAGAGAGCCCTGACGCTCCGCTAGGATGTCCCCCCAGGTTCCCACCCCCCTTCCACCTCAGACTGGGGGTTCCTAAAGTCATGTCCCGACCCTGGGTCAAGCCAAAGGCACCTAAGGACACACCTTGGCACTCAGCTCAGGGGAATGAATCTCAGGGTCAACCAGGGGATCCCCGACCCTCCAGTCCCTTAGGTACGCAGTTTCAGGGGTTCCCCCCGCCCTTGGCTTCATCAGTGACCTCCCACCCCGGGAGCAAGGGCCCACTGCCGGCCCCCACGGTGAAGAGCCGGCCCTGGATGGGGCACCTTGACTCAGCAGGTGCTCTACGGGCCTCACCTGTGCCCCCCAGGCGCGACTCGATCTCGATGCCCGGATACTGCTCCTTGACGGCACTGGCCAGCTCCAGGTAGGTGGCCTCGAAGCCGCACGGTTCGCTAGGGGAAAGATAACCCGGGGTCCGACAGGGCTTTCGGGGCGCCTCCCTCGGACCCCCCCGGGCCCGGCGCGGGCCCCTCCCTCGTGGCAGAAGCCGCTCACCAGTACTCCACCACGATGCGGACCCCGCTGCCCGGCTCGCCCTCCCCGGGAGGGGGCGCCACGGCCAAGTCCCCGCTCATCGCGGCCGGCTCCACTCCTGTCGCTGCTTCCGGGTGTGACGCGGCGCGCGGGCACGTGACGGGGCGGGGCGGGGCCACGCGGCCGGGACGGGCGCCCCCTGCAGGCAGCGGCCAAGGCGACGCTGGTGCCGAGTCCCAGCCCCGGGACTCGCGGGTCCGGGGTGCTGCTTACAGGGGCGCGTGCGCTTGCTTTGCTCCGCTTCTGAAGTCCAGATGAAATATCTTAGTCTGCAAAGGACCTTGTTACAAAGGGAAGAGAAGGTGCGACAAGCTGATCTAGGGCCTGAGGCTGGTATGGAAGAGTTGACTTTTTTTCTGTAAAATGCTTATGGCATCTTAAACTATCCTCTAGGGACACCCCCAGATCATTCTGACACGGAAACGCTGAACTTTAGATGCAAGCTGCAGTAACGGACACCTTTCCCGGGGCATTTGGAAAGCACAGAGTTTGGGGGACCCGCTCCGGCTTGATGCTCCGATGACGCTCTCGAGTTCCTGCACCTGTCCTGCGCCTTCCCAGCCTCACAGCTCAACTGGCCTCCGCACCCCCGTTACCTTAGAAACAGAGGCAGGCACCACCTTGGGTATCCTGACAGGTTACCCCCATCTGGCAGCCCCTAAAACCGTTCATACTTGAGCTACTCAGTGATTTGTAGAGCAGTCCTCCCGTCACCAAGAACCAGTTACAGAGCATTTCTGTCCCCTGGAAAAATCCCTCCTGACCCTTCAGTCATTTCAGCTTCCAGCTGCAGTCGGGACAGCCACCAATCCGCTTTCTTTGCAGATTTGCCTTTTCTGGACATCTCATGTCAAAGAATAAAACAATTATAGTCTTTGGCGTCTGAATTTCTTTTAGGAGAAGACTGCATTTTGTTTGTTTGGGGCTACCCCTGGTGATGTTCAGGGGCTACTCCCTGGCTTGGGCCTTCTTCATGCACAGCCTATTGATTTTCATTCTTGTTGTGACTTTTACCAGTTGTAACTTTTTTTTTTTCAATTGTGGAGTGGGTTTATTCTACTGTAGAAATGTTGATGGGATTTTAGTTTCCAGTTCTTGACTATTTTAAGTAATGCTGCTATGAATTTTTGGTCTCTTTGAAGTTATATTTTTATTTCTCTTGCACACATCCCTTCCTTTTTTCCTCCTTAATTTTTTTTTGGTATGGGGTGGGATTCCTACGCCCAGCAGTATTCGGGTCTTACTCTTGGCTCTGTAACCAGGGGTCACTCCCAGCAGTCACTCCTGGTGGTGATCATGCTCTATGTGGTGCTGGGAATCAAACCAGGATCAGCCACATGCAAGGCAAGAATCTTAACTCCTGTACTATCTCCCCAGCTCCTTCTCTCCCTCCCTCCCTCCCTCCCTCCCTCCCTCCCTTCCTTCCTTCCTTCCTTCCTTCCTTCCTTCCTTCCTTCCTTCCTTCCTTCCTTATTTCTTTCCTTCATTCCACAGCCAGAGATGGAATCCAGGGCCTCACAAATGCAAGGCAAACACTCTACTCCTGAACTATATTTTTCACTTCAGGTAGATTCTTATTTAGGTGATTTGGGGAGTTTGGGGGGTTTGGTGGGTAAGACCACACCTAGCAGTGCCCAGGGATTACTTTTGCCTGGCTCTTTGCTCTAGGGACAACTCCTAGTGTTGTTTGGGGGACCAAATATAGTGGCAGAAATTAAATTGGGGTCGGCTTGTGCAAGGCAAGATCCTTTACCCCTAACCCCCTTAATTCCTAACTCTCCAGTCCCAGTGCTATTTGTGTGTGTGTGTGTGTGTGTGTGTGTGTGTGTGTGTGTGGGTACACTTAGCTGTGTCCATATACTCCTGGCTCTGTGCTCAGGGATCACTCCTAGTGGTGCTTGGGAGATGATATGTGATGCTGAGAATTGAACGCAAGGCAAGACAAGCACCTTAACACTGTAAAATCTCTCTGGACCACAATTATTATTATTTTTTTTTAATTTTTTATTAGTGAAGTACCACGAGGTACAGTTGTAGACTTACAAATTTTTATGCTTGGGTTTCAGTTATACAATGATCGAGTACCCGTGCCTCCACCAGTGCACATTCTCCACCACCAATGATTCCAGTATCCCTCCCACCCCCCCCTTCCCCCCATTCCACCCTGCCTCTGTGGCAGGGCATTCCCTTTTGTTCTCTCTCTCCTTTTGGGTGCTGAGGTTTGCAAAAGAGGCATTGAGTGGCAATTGTGTTTGGTCTATAGTCAATTTTCAGCATGCATCTCCCATCCTGGGAGGATCCTCCCAATACCCTTTATTGGATGCTCCCTTCTCTATATGAGCTGCCTTTTCCCCTGGCATGTACAGCTGGCCTCCAAGCCATGGAGTAAACCTCTTGGTACTTATCTCAGCTATTCTTGGGTGTTAGTCTCCTATTTTGTTACTTTATGTTCCTCAGATGAATGTAATCTTTCTATGTCTGTCCCTCTCTTTCTGACTCATTTCACTTAGCAACTTAGCATGATACTTTCCATGTACTACCACTTGTATGTAAATTTCATGACCATCTTTTCTAACAGCTGCATAGTATTCCATTGTGTAGATATACCAAAGTTTCTTTAACCAGTCATCTGTTCTCAGGCACTCAGGTTTTTTTTTCTTCAGATTCTGGCTATTGTAAACAGTGCTGCAATGAACAAAAAAGTGAAGATGTCACTTCGACTATACTTTTTTTTTTGGTTTTTGAGTCACACCCAGCAATGCACAGGGGTTTCTCCTGACTCTACACTCAGGAATTACCCCTGGTGGTGCTCAGGGGACCATCTGGGATGCTGGGTATCAAACTTGGGTCGGCCGTGTGCAAGGCAAACACCCTACCCGATGTGCTATTGCTCCAGCCCCATCAACTATACTTTTTTGACTCTCTGGGATATATTCCCAGGAGTGGTTTTGCTGGGTCAAATGGGAGCTCAATTTCTAATTTTTTGAGAATCGTTTATACTGTTTTCCAAAAGGGCTGAACCAGTCGGCATTCCTACCAGCAGTGAAGGAGGGTCCCTTTCTCACCACATCTGCGCCAACACTGGTTGCTTTTTGGACCACAATTCTTTTTAATGGCATTTTTTAAGTGTAAACTTTTAAAATATTTGTTGAGTTTGGGATTTTGGGTCATACCCAACAGTGCCAACAGCTACTCCTGGTCTGTGATGAGGGGTTCCTGGAATTGAACCCAGCCTTCTGTCTGCAAAGCATGTGCTTCAGCCCATTCAGCTAGCTCCTTGGCTATCCAAAAGTTCTCAATTTTATTTTCCTGGTTTCTTTTTTTTTTTTTTTGAGGGGGGGTACTCCTGGCAGTGCTCAACGTTTATTCCTGGCTCTGCGTTCAGGGATCACTCCTGGCAGACTTGGGCACCATATATAGTACCAGGGATCAAACCCAGGTTGGCCACATGCAAGGCAAGCCCCCTACTCACTGTACACTCTGACCTAGCACTGTCAGGATAGCACTGTCCTCCCTTGTTCATTGATTTGCTCGAGCCGGACACCAGTAACATCTCCATTGTGAGACTTCTTGTTACTGTTTTGGGCATATTGAATATGCCATGGGGGGTTTGCCAGGCTCTGCGTGCAGGCGAGATACTCTCGGTAGCTTGCCGGGGTCTCCGAGGGGGCAAAGGAATAGAACCCGGGTTGGCCCATGCAAGGCAAACACCCTACCTGCTGTGCTATCGCTCCAGCCCACTCTGACCTTCATTTTTACATTTTGGTAAAATATAATTTATCATTTTTTCCATTGATCACTTAATGATTCTGCTATTGTAAGCAAATAGTTGTCTAATCCAAGGTCAGGTGATTTTTTCCCGCATGCTTTCTTACCAAAAAATTTAGTTTTAGCTTTGATATTTAAGTCTGTGGTCTACCTTAATTGTTGTACCTTCTGTGAAATAAGAACCTACATTCATCTTTTGGTATGTAGCTATTTAGTTGTTCCGACACTATTGAACAGTCTCTCCTTTCTCTAGAATTATTTTGGAGTGGAGTCTTTGTCAAAACTCAATTGACTGAAAATGTTAAAGTTTATAGTCAGACATAATAAAGTGGATAGACCTCATTTTACTTTATGTTCTATTCTGGCCCCTCCCACTTCCCTTTGTTGTGATAATAAGGGGTTTCATATGCGTGACTTTGAGGGCTCCAACACTTCCCCTGCAGCATCCACCCGGGGTCTCACACTTGGCTGTGGTTGTCTCACACTTGGCACTGCTGATGGAACTGCACTTGGCATGTAGGGCAGTGCCCGGGATCAGACTCTCAGCCTAACAGAGCTGCACAACTGAGCCATCCTGGGCCCTTCTATTTGTGCTCTCAACTCTGTCCCATTGACCTATACATCCACTCCTTGTTGTTGTCATCTTTTTTGTTTGCTTTTTTGGAGGGTCACATACAGAAGTGCTCAGGGCTTACTCCTGGTTCTGTGCTCAAGGATCACTCTAGGTGAGCTTGGGAGATCCTGTGGAGTGCCAGAATTGAACCCTGGTCAGCTGTGTATAAAACAAGCACCTTATCCTCTGTTACTCTACTCTCTCTCTCTTTTAATTAAAAAAAAAAAAGATCCAGGAGTTAGGTAGTTGTCTCAGAGGTCTGAGTGCATGCCTGGTGTGCAGGTGGTCTGGGTGTGATTTTTTTTTTTTTTTGCTTTTTTGGGTCACACCCAGCGATGCACAGGGGTTACTCCTGGTTCATGCACTCAGGAATTACTCCTGGCCGTGCTTGGGGGACCATATGGGATGCTGGGAATCGAACCTGGGTCGGCCGCATGCAAGGCAAACGCCCTACCCACTGTGCTATCACTCCAGCCCTGGGTGTGATTTTTGACACCATATATAACTGAGTGTCACCTGTTGAGTTCTAGTGACCCCCTGCGCTGCTGGGCATGAGTAGCACTGGGCTGAATATGATTGGGAGTAGCCCCTGGGTCCTCAAGACCCTTTGCAGACCCCTCAAGAATTCAGATGCTTTTTATACCCAGTGAAATTCATCCTTTTGAGTGTGCCTTTCTGTGAATCCTGATACAGTTGTGCATCACACCAAGACACAGAGGGGCTCC